CATGTGATCCCCAAAGCCATCACTTTGATGACATTTTGTGGTTGTTCAGATTGTAGAATATATATATATATATATATGTCTCTCTCTTAAACACCCCAGACACTTCAGAAAGACTCCAAGAGAATGTGCCTCAGTGAGATACTCCCACTTAAAATAATTCTGCCCTCATTTGCAATATTTAGGATAGATATGTATGTCTCTTAGATTAAATAAAAATAGTTATTCCCTAGGGTAACTTGGCAAGATGTTTCTCAAGGATGGAACGTTTTTCTTAGAATCAAGAAGACAAAGAAGATTTCCCAATGTTTTTGTCAGATGGGAAATAAAAACAGTAATATTTTGCTCACCATGCTGTAGGTGACTTGGACCTTTTTAAAGAAGCCATCTTCGATGGTAGGTAAGAAGTAACAAGATGATACTGGGAATTGATGCAACAGACACATGAGCCCTTGAAACTCCTTCCTCCCTATTTCCTCATTTCCCTTGCTTTGGGGTCAGATGAGACAAATGTGGCAGCAGTTGGGAGAAACTCCACTTAGTTCCTGTAGGAACAAGGAGGTGGCCTCCTGTGACTTGAGCAGGATGTGAACCTTTAATAGTTCCTGTGGGTCTACTTCCTTTTGCTGAGGCAACCTTCTTGTTTGGGACATTAGTCATCCTCCTTCCCATTCTGACCTTTGAAATGCTTTTATTTTTATATTTTTATTTGATTTTTTTCTTTAAGATTCATAGATTTAGTTGAACTTGGGCACTGCATGAAAAATGAAGTTTACATCATTTATATTATGTACATAAACTAGTGATTTACATTGATTTACACATGATTGGTGCCTAATTTATTAATCAGCACACAGTATGTAAATGCACTGAAAGGAAATCAAGATTTTAAAATAAGTTTTCCATAATATCCATAAACATTTGCACTGGTGTAAATGTTAAACCTAAACCTAATGTTAACACCAGCTTCCTTGCCAAGAAGAAAGTGATGTACATTGCTGGGTGAAAACAAATCTCTCTTGAATTTCAGTTGGCCACATTTGACAACACAGCTACATGCAAATGAGAATAGTTTACTTCTCTTCCACGAGTATGCACATAAATGTAAACTCCATTTTGCATTTAGTGAGATGTTTACAGATATAATGCCAACTATGATGGAAAATTTACATCACTGGGGCAAATGTAGCCTTTGGAAGAGAAATATTTTAAGTACGTAAGAAAGAAGAAGGCTTCCCGAACTGAGTTTGTTTCTTAATTTAGGGTCCTATCTCACTATTTTTGTGGTATGTTTCACATTGTCTTCAAAATATTAATAATTTTTATAGGTCAGATATAGCACTATACTTATATTTCTATTTAAAAAAACGATGGTTATTGGTGACCAAGACTAAATCCAGGCTAATAAGTTATGAAAATGAAGAGAAAAACAAGGCCATGGCTAATCCCATGGAACTTGGTCCACAAACAAATTCCTCTTAAACAAATAATTACAAGGTGGAAAAAATGGGGTTCTCTATCTTTCTAAATGAAGTGTAGCTCTCTTTTTTTTTTTGACCAGATTCAGTTCTTTTCTTCCTTTGAACTTTAAACCATCATTCTAGATTTGTCTTATAATACATACAATATTGTAAATATAGCATCTGTAAAGATAAGATTAAAAAAAATACATACACATATATATTATTTTTCCACAAATAATCAAGGCCTGCAAAAAAACAAAAGGGGAGATTCTGGGAGACAAGCCAATAGAAACAGTCAAACCACAATCAACCTGGGGATGGAAAATGTGACTCTGGAGTAGTTAAGAAGCTTACAACTTGGTAGGTAATAACTCAGAAATAATTTCATGCTAAGGAGTTTAGTTTTTGTGTGCAAAGGAGGTAAGTCCATTTTTGGAGGAGAAACAGATTTTTGTTTCTCTCTCCAAGAACATTAAAATCACGAGTACTTTTACAAGGTCTCTATGAATGGCCCCAGTTGACTGAATATGTAGTAAAAAAATGCCCATGGGAGAAGTCTGTCTGACTCGTAAGAGAAGGCAAAGGTCAATAGGATATTTCTTCCCCAACAGAAATCACAATTTTTCCCTAAGCCTTAGTTCTTTTAGGGCAGAGGGATTTGATGTCTCAAAACAAGTAAGACTTTCCTCCAATAAGGCAAAACCTTCTGATGAACGATTGCACAGAGGATATAATTGTGCCGTTGTAAAACCTAAGATAGTTCTCATTCTTCAGGAAGAACCCTTGGTCAGGGTCATTTCTGCATTGGTTAACTGAAGGTTGGATCTAAGAATTTAATTTTAAGAATGGTAGAGTGTCGTTTTGTATACAAAGGACATGAAAGATATGAGTCATTCAGATTAATTGATGAATTTCGGTCCTCTCATGGTATTGTTTCCAACCAGTTGGTTCTTTTCAGGGCAGGTTTTCACGTTTTGATTACCAACAGTCAAGATTCTTGAAGGGATTTATAGCAATATGATGAACTAAATTCCAAGAAGTCCCATGTTCAGGCTCAATTTTTTGGTGTCAGTCCTCTGGCTCCTGCCTTTTTTCTGACCTTCCTTCAAACTATGTTCTCCTCCATTCTTCACATTGCTTAGAGACATTCTCAAACCTAGGAGATTTCTGGGGCCAATGTTTGCTCTGAAACAGGAGCCAGGACAAATGTTTTTAAATTCCCAGATCCTGCCAGAGATATATGCAAACACCACAATATTCAATATATGTTTAATTATGTTTAATATATGCTCCATCATATTAAAACTCAGGGAACAAATGGTGCTGACAAGGCAGACGTTCCTTTCAGTGGAGAATCTCTTTCTAGAAAACCAAGACTTCGTCCTTATGATAGGGTGGAGACAATAAGAAATTTAGGTGTCTGATTAAAATGTGTCACATGCCACAAGGATCTGTTCCTGAAACTGATACTAAACTGAACTCACTCCTGCTGCTTTTATTTTTTTATATATCTTTAAACTAGCATGAGTTCCTCTCAAGCTTCCACATAAGGATGTGACTTGGCTCTTCAATATATGGGGAACGTTTGTCATCAAGGATGATAAACTTATATTCCTGTACTGAGACCAAAATGTAGAGAAATCCCTATTGTCAATAAATTGATGCTGGATAGGAATATGGCTCACCTTCCCTATATTTTAGTAGCTACTTTCTTGGATATGAATTTCTGTCCTATGCCAGGATCTGCCACAAATACTCTTATCCATCCCCAAGCCCAATTTGTTTACCCTGTTGTTTCATGTCTAAACTGCAAAATCATAAAAGAATGCTGGTAATAAGCTTTCTAAAACAAACAATAGAATCCCCTAGAACAGATTTAAAATGTTGCTCACCAAAGAGATCATTACCTTCAAAGACAAGGCTCATTGACAAGAGCCTTTAATTAATCAATTCTATCAGAAATTTCAAATCCTTTTCCTTCTTTCCGTCTCCCCTTCCCCCTTCCTCCCTTCTTTCCTGTCTCCTCTCTTTTCCTCTCCCTTCTTTTCTTTCTTTTTCTTCCCTTTTCTATTTGCATTTAGGAAGGTTCTTGTTTTATATTATGTGACAGCTATTTTTCAGGTCCCAAAACTAAGTGAGGTAACCATATTTGGCTTTTCTGAAATCCAATCAGTTATTACAATAACTCTCTCTGCAAGACCTTTGCTAAGAAAATCTTGGTGTTCCAGTGATACCAAACTTTGTGGTATGCATACAATTTCTGCTTAAATTATTACAATTTTCCCAGCTCTTTCGATTCAAGAACTAACGTTTCAGATGACTCTTACTGATGTAAATTTAGACATCATATCCTCCGCAGTATCTTTCAGGAACTAGAAGCGAAAAGTGAGCAGGGAAGGTGGAATATATCCCAGTGGGTTGGCCTAGGATAATGATGGACTGGTACGAACAACGGTGCTGCAAACATTACCAGTGGGGAAGAAGGGAGATAGTGTGAGCCACCAACAAAGTATTAGCTTGCAACATCAGGACAAAAATCTGCAAAGGAGTACAAGAAATGGTTTCCTTCTTGTTATGGTTGATGCTTTGTATATAGAGCTCTGCCAACATCTCTATAAGGTGAGTGGGGACCTGGGTATCTGTCTACTTTTCCTGCCTTTATCACTCTCCCTATAGGAAATAAAATTTGCTCAGGGGAATCCATGGGCCAAATGCAGTGTTATGTGAAGATCAGGGAGGGGGCAAAACAGGGCTGCTTAGGATCTCCATGTGGCTCATCATCCTTTCATTGGGAGTTAGCTCTTGGAGACCTTTCTGCTTCTTGGGATTTACTCAACACATGCTACTCACTCCTGCAGCAAAGCAGGTCCAAGCCTGCAAAAAGCCAGGAAATATATGAATTCCTCAGACTCATGAAACAAGAGTGAAATCAGAAACCTTCTCTCCTAGGTCACATCATTGACGTCACTGATTCTTTCTACTGTTTGCTCACCCCAACAATAGTAGGCACTTTCATTTACAGTGATATTCTGAGTGACTCTCGACTGGGTTCTGATGATTAGACTAGGAGGAATATGACGTTCTGCCCTTAAAAGGGGCACAGCTTGGTGTGAATATACACTGATGTCATGTGACAGCCATGGGGTGGGGGTGGGGGCTCTGCTCCATGCCTCCTTCTCCACCATGTCCCCCAGCAACTGATCAAGGCCGCATCTCACAATTACAATGCGGGACAGTATCTACAGCACAATGAGTTTATGTACACATGGACCATTCCCTTGGCATGCTTTAGAGAGAGACACACACGCTCACATACTTGTATACCCACGTGAGAGCGAGAGACTTAAGCACGCACGCACAGTGGAGAAAATTAAAATGGCACTTCCTAGCATTTGCGGCATGACTAGTGCTGGGGGGAGGGGCGGTGAAGAGAAGCAGTAGCCAGAGGGTGGGGGTGGGGAATAAAACGGAGTATCTGGGATGGATATGGGGGAGCTAGAACACACTGAAGGGGGGGCGGGGAAGAACTCTTAAAACTCTTAAAAGTTGGGGAGATAGTGGAGGCAGGAAAGCCAGATAAAGGCTCAACACGGGATTCCAGCATAAATTCCACTGATAGTCTGAAATGGCTACAAGTCAGCTCAAATGAAAAACAGAATAAAAAGATGATGGCAATATAAACACCAAAGGCAAGACCGTAGTTTTTCTTTCCCCACAGATGAAAAAGAATGAAGGAAGGATAAAGTGTGTGGGGGGGGGGGAGGGGAGGGGGTTAATATCCATCTGATACTTCTTCACTTGTCTTATTTTTACAACATCCGGGGTCCTTAGCATGATGTAGTCCTTATATAGCATACATTTGCTTCGATCTACGCATATCCTTGTAGAACTTTTCCCACCCTGATTTATACTTAAATTTTTTATTGATGGACTTAAAATGGTTTTAAATGTATTTTCTTCTTCGTTTTATTTCCCCCTCCATTTATAAACACACAAAGTTGTGAAATAAACAGTGTCCCCCCATCTCGCTCTCTCTCTCTCTCTCTCTCTGTATCCTGTGTGACGCATTTTTGTGTGTTTTTTAAATTATTTTTAAATTTTTATTCTATTAACATTTGCTGAGAAGGCAGAGCAGAGATGCCGCCAGCAGCCACAGTGGTACGGCCAGACTGATGGATCCATTTATTCCTCTCACCGACCCAGGCCCTGCAGCACAAAAGAGAAAGAGAAGAGAACAGTTACATTCAGCCCGCTCTGTGTTACAGCTGACTGCTGACTGTATCAGAGGGAAGAACGGGCTGGGTACCAGCGCCTCAAAGTCAGGGCGCTTATGTACAGCCCAAGAAGGGCTCACAATCTTTCCTAAATCCTTCTGCTTGAGTTCTAAGTATCTCAAGGGGTATCAGTGGTTGAAACACATTTGAATACAAGATACTCTTGCTGGAGAAGGCTGAATGTGTCTGATGGTGCTGTGGGCTCCTCTTCACCCAACCGCTTCTTGCATGCGGTGCTCTGCAGAGCATTGTGATGCCAGCACTCGTTAAGATTCCAAGCTTTGGTGAGGGTCCTTCAGCAGCCAGACACGGGCTTCTCTGGCTGATTCATCACAGCATCTCCATCAATAAAATATAGAGCCAATCCGAAACTCTCATTTCTCAGGCGGAAGCAGTAATTATTTATTTGTTAACAGGGAGGGGGATTGTCTCTAAGGAACATTTACGGCTGAATGGTACCTTAGCTGCAAGCTAGAAAATAAGTCAACTCCTTGTAGAGTCTTAAGAGGTCACAGGGGATCATCTGTTCCAAACTCTTCATGTGACGCTTTAAAAATCAAAATCAAAAGAAACAACAGCAACCACCACCGCCACCAGAAAACCTAGAGAAGCTGAGAGGCAAGTCCAAACCAGAAGCAGAACTGAGACTTGAATGTTCCCAGAATTCACCCTGGAATGGCAGCCTACGTGTTTCCCACTGTCACTGTAATTTTCCCAACATGGACACAATTTTGGGGACCCGGGTCTGGATCTAAGAGGGAGATGGGAATGGAGAGGAAAATGGAGAAGATTTGTGTAGACAAAGAGAAGAGAATTGGGGCAGAAAATGTAGGCCCCAAGAGCTTGTCTCCTGTGCTTTGTTTTTCCATTTTCCCTTTTTGTATAGTTCTGTTCATATAGATCCATTACAAGAAGAAAATATTAGTATGTTTCACAACAGAGATTTTAGATTTAAGGCTGTATGCTTAGACGGACGATGTTCAAAAGAGAAATCAACATGACTAATTATGGGTCACTTTGCAGTTCTGAGGGCACATATGCAGATCATTGTGTGTGAATGAATGTGCATGTGAGTGTGTTGTGCGAGCACACGTGTGAAAACCTATGATGGTTTTCAAGCGCAATGGAAGCATCCCCTGGTTTGCAGATGTTTCCAAAATTGTCTACAAACATATCAGATCAGATGTAAGATAACAGGGAAAATGTCGAAGTCAAGAATGTTCTCCTAATCCGTGTTTTATATAAATAATAGCAACTGAACAAAACCAGCAATTACACAGCCCTAATACCAGGTACTGTCAGAAATGCTCTACAAATGTAAGCATATCACATGCTATGAGGCAGGTATTATAATGAACCCTTTTTCACAGTGAGATAATAAGAAGCACAGAGAGGTTAAATGTGTTGTACACATTTACACAGCTCATGAGCAGAGGAGCTGGGGGTTTTACTCAGGCAGCTGGCTCCCGCCTTTGACCATCACCACTACACCGTGGTTACATAGGGAACGAGTGCCAGTGAGTCTCCTGTCTAACATCCAGCAAACGAATTTTGGGTTCATTTAAAACAAGAGCCAGAACAAACAAAAAAACACGGAGGCATCCATGATCTTCGGACAAATGATTTCCAATAGAATATTTTTTACTAGAATGTCTTCTTGAGAATATTAAAAATATTACTTAGTATAAAAATATGAAGATATACAAACTGTGAACAGCATAGTTATAGTCTAAAATAAGCTTTATTATCTGGAAAGCTATGGAAATGCAGAGTAAATAATTTAAACATTCAGTCAGTCAATTCTTCAATTTTCTGAATGGCTGTAGGATCTTATTAATAAAAGGCACTTTTGCTATCTTCATGTTTCTTCATGAGGAATTTAGGTTCAAGAAGATTATGTGTGTGCATAAGTTACCTGATGGTAGTTGTTACCCAGGCAGTGGAATGTGCCCGGGCACATTCGGAGTCTCAGCCCAGGGCTTTTCCTTAACCTACCCTCCATGCCCTTCACCACACTTTTTGGGCTTGTGACCTTTAAGCTCTCTCAGTGGCCACTCCCTAGGCCTTCTAGACAGATGGCGATGCATTTCCCTATCACTTTAATTCCTCTATATGCTTTAAATGGCATAAACTCTATGGTACATTTGTTTGGATTAGTGTTGTCAGTATGGTTTCCAAAACAGAGAAAGACTATACACAAATTGAGCCCATACAGGACTAAGCAAAAATTTTTTTGTTTTGCCTTAGGGATAGTGTGAAACAGAAGGATTTTAGAAAGCGTCTAATTCTGCCTATTTCCTTAACCTCATTTTTAGTGCTGGGACAGGCTAGATGATCTCTCAGACAGCTTGGAGTTGAGTGTTAACTGGGGATGTCTAAAAAGCCTAGTCTTATCACTTTATTTGAAGGGCAGTAAATATTTGAGAAAGCAAACAATCTGTCATTGAAAAACATGATATATACAAATATGGACCTAAATAAACATGGCCACATATCACATTCTTGCTATTGTATGTACACACATATATATGCAGATACAAAGAGAAGTATATATGTTGTGTGTGTACTTGTATATACACATATGATATAATGCACGCACATATTATTGGTCTTTTAATACATATAATTGAGAATTAACTGTTACTTTCACAGGCTAGTCTATGATATATATAGGGATCCCAGTTTGACTGTGTTAATAATCTTTAATTTTATCCTTAGTAGAATTATTATTTATATATTTGAAATGCATGGTGTTCATGTAAATTCTGATTATGGTGACGGTGGTATAACTGTCAATAAAGTGAAAACTGTTGTATTTATATATTTGAAATGCATTTTGTGGATCTGTTAAAGGTATCTTCATCTCTATCAATTATTATTTATTAAGTGCTCTCATATAGCTATTTGATGTGCTTCTATGACATGCTCTTTTCATAATTGGTTTTGAGAGTAAATAAATAACTTGAAAAAATGCAAGAGTAAATGAATGAGAGTTGGAGAATCATCACAAGTGTGTATGCAATTATAGATATATATGACTGCATAGGAGACTACTTCAGTTAATGGCTATTTCAGGGCAGAATAATCAGCAAAATCATTAATTACATTTTAGTTCATAGTTATGAAATTTCTGCTTATTTGTGAAAATGCAAATGATAAATCTTATTTCCCACACCAGATGGCCAGGCTCAGCAAGTGCTTTTATATACTGACAGATATAATGAAAGCAAGAGTCTGTAAACATAAATTAGCCTTAAGAATAGATGAGCAAATAGAACCACAATTCAAAAATTGCTACATGTTTTTCATATAACAGACAAAACTCATATCTTGGCATTTAGGCACATTCTATATGTGTTTATGTATGTGTGCATACACTTACACGTGTGGTATCTGGTAAGCACACAATAAATGGTATGTCATCATTAATGCTATTCACTATGGAAGGCTGGATTACAGAAAGGGATGAAATACCCCCAAACCAAAGGCATTGGTTTGTGAACTGGGTCAAGGCTTTTAAAATGTGACCTGCAAGGGCAAAATTCAGCTACAGCAAGATTGAGAATCTTGAGTCAACACACCAGGTCAAGGTTCTCAACCCCAGGACAGGATGATAAGTGAGACTCTGTATCAGCATGAAGGCTGGACTGCACTTTGCCACAACAATGTTTTTAAAAGGGAGTTTGTGATTAAGAACAAGGTTGATAAGACATCCTGAAATTACAGGATATGATAATTTTTGGCAAGTCTCTCCACTGCAAATCTGAGGCAAGATACTCAGCCAATTGATTTTTCTTTCAGTAAAATCTCAAAGAAAGTACTAGGTGATTTTCCAACACCTGCGTTAGAAAGCATACACTTGGAGACACTTTATGATTCAAATCCAGCCAGTGCATTTCTGTTGCTTCTCCTGAATACTTAGGACTCATTTCCCTGGATTTAGGACTAGATTTATTCGAAATAAGCATTCTTAAAAAAGTAATAATCAATAATCAGAGCCTCAGTGATCCGTGGGCATTCCTTTCAGCCACTGAAGAATCAAGGTCTATAATAATTTTATTCCTGTTTTCAGCTATACAAGAAAAGAAGAAAGACCAGGTGGGTTTAAGTTTCAATTCTACTTAGAATTATTAAGGGCTGACTAAGTGACTGACAATAAAACAAAAACTCAAACAAAATACAAAACAATTGTCAAGCAAAGGAGAAAAATAATCTACATCTCTCTTAGATATAATCTGGATGTGGAGACTAAGGCACTTCCCTGTCCTGGGAAGCCATGTTTAAAGGGAAGCCTGATAAGATTGACTTTGGCGCCACCTGCTCTCCACATTCAGCCAGTACAGCTTCCTCTGGGCGAATGAATTGGGGATTAAAGCCTATAATCTCCAGGCTGGAGTAGAGAAGAGGGGATATATTGATGTTTAATTTGAACAATGTGTCTTAGAATTAAATTTGGGCTCCTCTTAAAAGTGTCTTGAAGAACCCTGAAGTATTTTCACAGTAACATCCATTACATCTTTTCCATTGCAACAGCATCAAATATTTTGGCATGTGAAAATTTGAAATTTTAGGCTGATGCTTAGAATTCCTTTGGATACCACCAGGAATTTATCTCAGTTTTTTTTAATGTTTTACTTATTTCTGAGAGAGAGAAAGAAAGACAGTGTGAGCAGGGCAGGGTCAGAGAGAGAAGGAGACACAGAATCTGAAGCAGGCTCCAGGCTCTGAGCTAGCTGTCAACACAGAGCCCGACGTGAGGCTTGAGCCCACAAACCATGAGATCATGACCTGAGCCAAAGTCGGATGCTTAACCGACTGAGCCACCCAGGCGCGCCTCAGTGGTTTTTGAAAGATAACACTATGCCCAATTTCTCCATCCATACCAAATCCCTGAGGCATCATATGTTCATTCCACTAGTACTAACCGCTTAAAATTCAAATGTAATTGATAATCATGGCACTGGGGAGAGAAGAAGGGCTGAAGGGAACAGGAGTTTACACTTTCTTGCCCCAAATGATCTTGCTACAATGTACGTATTTCTGATGTCCTCTTCCCTGCTGCCTTCTGTGAAGACTTGTTAGAGTTGGCCATAAACAAGGTGCTGACATTTTCTTGGAGTAAGCAATAAAGGGTCCATAATTTCTGATGTTTATTTATTTTTGAGAGGGGAGGGAGAGAGAGAGCGAGAGAGAGAGTGAGAGAGAGAGGGAGACACAGAATCCAAAGCAGGCTCCAAGCTCTAAGCTTTCAGCACAGAGCCCAATGCGAGGCTAATACTCAGGAACCTTGAGATCATGACCTACCTGAGCTGAAGTCGGACACTCAACTGACTAAGCCACCCAGGAGCCCCAAAGGATCCATAATTTCTGTGGCTGTTGGTCACTGGTAGGGTCTAAGTCTCACAAGAATAGGTTCTCACTATTGAGAAGGACCTTGGCTGTCTCATCCCCTTCGAGACTCAGAGAAGAAAACATTTTCATGTGAGACAATTACCAATCCAAGTGAGTGGCCATGAGAATGTACAAAGGGTGATGTCTGGCCATGCAGCTTTCTCTGTGGCTCTGGTCTGGGGATAAACACCATAAGGATTTCTGTTGGATTTGTGAGGAGGGTGCCTCAGAATTGGTAATTGTTTGCATTTCATGAAGCTTTAACTTGATTGCATTGCCTTTGTGGGGAAGCTTTGTGCCATGTGGTTGATGGAGACCTGTAGAGTAGCTCCTGGGAGGCCCCAGCAGCCTGGATGTACTGCAGAAGGGGAGTCCTATGAAGACCTGGGAGAACACTGAGGCAGGAGAGAATATTACATGTTCAATAGCTTCATTGTAGGAGACATTACCCTATTTCCTTTGCATGTATCCACTTTAATAGCTAACAAGAAACAGTAAAGTAGGCTCTATAATTTTTCTGAGCCCGGTATTTGGACAGTGAACATTGCCAAAAACGCGGATTTGCAAGAATGAACCATGGCCACACACGGAAAGTAGGAGAGGGAATAACTTGTTCAGTTTCAGAGGTTTAAAAATGAATAGCTATCAAGACCATTATATGGGTTAGGTCAGAGCTTTTTGGGAATGAGAAAGTTTGTAATGTGGGAAACACAGTGGCAAATATGTTATGAAAATTATTATCACAAATTATTGAAATGAAATAAACTCAAGTGTATAAGACCCCAATATATGGCTATGAAATCTTAATTTTAACATATAGAATATATTCTTTAACATATAGAAATAAGAGCCATACCTTTTTGCTTGAAGTGCACGGTGGTGCCAATTTCTAAAAAAGAAACATTTAACAAAACAAAAAACAGATAAAAAATTTTTTTTATCAACTGAAAATAAGCACAAAGGTATTCTGGTAGCTCCACTGAAAGGAGAATGAGACGAAAGGTGGAAAGAGCATTCTACTAGAAGCACATCCTGGTAGAGATCAAAAGAAAGGCACCTGGAAAGAGATTGTTTTGTTGGAACAAATGTGCAGTTGGAGGTGGCATAAAACAATTTCCAACTACAAATATTTGATGTTACATGTTATGCGTATAGACAAGTACAGGAACTCTGAGAATGGCATGTAAAAGTGCACTTGGCTGCAATTTAATGGGATGATGGAATGTGTCCGGCCTCCAATCGCATCCTGGCATTTTGTCCCTGGTTTGTTCCTCTCAAGCCAGCTGACCTTCATGGTTTTCTTCTGACAAACTAAATCCATTCCAACTTTAGAACTTGTGCACCTGCTGTTTCATCTGCTTGGAATGTTTCTCCCCCAGATCTCTGCATGGCCCAGGCAGTCGCTTCATTCAGATTTCTGCTGAAATGACCCCAACTCAGGAAGGACTTCTCCCATCACCTTGTCAAAAAGGTATCCTCCGTCACTTTCTGTGCCTTTGCCCTGATTTATTAATGTTATTAGCACTTATCATTACTTGGTATCATTTTATATATTTCCTTATTTGCTTGGTTAGAGTTTATCTCCTCCACTAGAATATATGGTCCATGAGGGCAGCAACAGTGGATGTCTTGTCAATCACCGTATCCCTGTGCCTACATCAGAGCCCGACATGCAGTATGTATGCAATAAGTACTTGCTGAATGTACAAATCTCACGGCTGGAGGAGCTTGTACATGTCAAATACTTGAACTCCTTTTTGACTATCTTTATCAACCAAACAAGAATACTGTTTGATCTTTAGAAGTAAATATGGAAAATTTCCATAGGACGTCACAATGACTCTCAGGACCAACTTAATGGTTAATTAGATATAGGAGTCCAAACAATGGCTGTGGGATATGGATTGTCCCCTCTGAAGATCAGGATATGGCCTTGTGCCCCATCAATAACACACTTTCATTAAGGAGGTAAAGTGACTGACCTCTGAAGCTAAGGAGAGCCTTTTGAATTGGACATTTATTTACCTTATTTGAATTGGACATCTATTTACAAGCTTAAAACTTGTTCATACTTTCTTGTGTCTCCCAGAAGGAAGACCCAAATCCTTGGCATGGCATCCATAGCTCTACCCTTCATCTCTCCAGCCTCATCAATGCCTGTCATCTTGCATCCTAACCCACAGTCTTCCTTCATCCTTCAGGGCATCATGTTTTTTTCTGTTGTAGGGCCCATGGCCCAATGTTACCACTACTAGAAATCCCACTCATCCTTTAGAATTCAGTTATAACTTCCACAGGGAAGGCTTCCTGAGTCCCCTTAGTAAAATTAAGTCCCTTTTTTATAAGTTCTGCTCTCCTTCATAACTCAGGAAACTCAGCTCAGTTTTAATTTTAAATACATTTGTCTGAGGTTTTGAGTAATGCTTGTCTTCACTAGTGGACTGTGAGTGCCATGGAGCAGGGGCTGTCTTTGCTACTGTTCCCTGTTGTAGTCTAGCCAATGCATGAAGGCACTCTGAATGCACAATGGGCCAACAAAGCTTTAGAATCACTGAAATATGAGAAAAATAAATATATGCCAGGTATCCTCCTAACAGAGGCTCCAAGGCTCTGTTAAAACAACAAAGAGTCTGAGTAGCTAAATTATTATCTGATTTAGCACAAAGGGGTCAGAACTTTAGAATAAGGTCGGCACAGTTTCTGGGGGTTCAGTGTGGTCTATTTCCTTAAAGATTTTCCATTTGTTTACTCAAAGGAGGTCACAAGGAGAAGTCTTCAAACAGCATGCTGTTTTCTGGTATTCTTATGATGGCTATAAGAAGGACACAATTTTCCTAGAGTCTGAGGTCTTGAAAATGTTTGGCTACAATTCAGCATTAACGAAACTAGTATAAGCCAGGCTGTTCCTAACAGCAAGCTGTGTCTACGTGTAAGGACAGTTTTCCTAAACTCGTCAGATGTGGGGAGGAGGGATACTCGTGTGAATATTCTTTTGTGTTATGACTGCCGGTGGACCTCCAGATGTACTTCTGAAGCTGCTCAAAGGTATTGGCACCCATCCTTCTGTCTTTGAAGAGTTAATCTATTACTTGCACAAGTAAATGAAGCCTTCCCATACAGAAGGATGCAGAGAGAATTCTGCCCCAACTCTAGCAGAAGCCAGGAACCTGTCACTCTTACTTCAGAAGTGAAGCCAGATTTCATCAAGATATAAAACAGTGGTCTCTACCTGTTCACCACACTGATCATCTGACCACTGATGTTTCAACTGTGTATTAAACATATTGCCACTTATTTTTCTTTTATAACACCTGCTCTACTTTTCTTTGAAATAAATGTATTGCCTTAAAAATTGTTGAAGAGTCACTGTAGAGAATGTACTTAACATAATATGGAAAACCGAGGCCCAGAAAGGCTAATTAGCTGCTCCGGGTCACCAGAATAAAGCTGAGACTGAAACCCAGGGCTCCCACTTCTCCAGCCAGACCCCTGTCCATTATTCTACAATTCCCCTCTGCCCCTTGGTATTTTTTATGGGGGCAAAGCTAGGTAACCATAGCCTGTATAACTCTAGGTTTATCGCTGGGATATTTACATGATTTACTCTCGACTGAGGACACTTGGGCTCTGCTTTTGTGCAAAGTGCAACTTCCCTTCTTTCTTTGGTCAAGGCTTTTGGTCTCGCATTCTTTAGAATGTGTAAGGAGGCTGCAGGGTCATAGAGTCATTGCTTCTTACCCAAAGAGGCCTAGATCCCTAATAGGACCATCTTTATATAGAGAACACTGGGATTCCCCTGCTCTGTCCCTGACCCACAGGCCTCCTGGGGTAATTCCAAGCAACCATTCGGGGCCCTGGGCAGACAGGAGGATCGAGCGCTCTGCTCAAGCTAGAAACTATCACGAAACTTCTCTTTGCCTCAGTTTCATTATCCGTAATATAAATTTAATTAACATGCTCCTTATACATTTGTGCTATTGGTTAGATATGTTAATTATCATACTGTGCTTGGAAAGCTGCCATATACATAGTAAGATACACTGTTATCAGATGTGTGGTAAAACCTTTTCTAGAGAGAACTTTCAGTGAAAGTTTGGTGGGAAAGAGAAAAATGTATCTAAACAGGTAGGCCATGTCAGTGCAGATCGAAAGAAAAAAAAAAAATAGAAAAGGTCTACTAGAGCAATAAGGACGAACAGAACATTGAGAGGTGTGGGCACACTGCAGTGATTGGGAAGCACAATGACCAGGCAGCATTTTGGTCCGGAGAAGCCCAGCAATATGCCTGGCTTAACCAGTCAGTGACACAGGCCTGGATAAGAGGCTCCATGTCCTACATAGTTCTTTTAGGGAACAGAAACTCCCCTACTAACTAATTAAAAAGAGTTATTAAAAGGGTGCCTGGGTGGCTTAGTCGGTTAAGCATCAGACTTCAGCTCAGGTTATGATCTCATGCTTTGAGGGCTCAAGCCCTACATCAGTCTCTGTGATGACAGCTCGGAGCCTGGAGCCTGCCTCGGATTCTGTGTCTCCCTCTCTCTCTGCCCCTCCCCTGCTCACTCTCTGTCTCTCTCTTTCTCTGTCAAAAATTTAAAAAAATAATAATAAACATTAAAAAATATTTTTTAAAAGTTATTAAAATAAGAATTTGAAAACGTTGCTCAAATATTGTACTCTATGAAGAAAAGCACACATATAAAAAATATGTATATGCTTGAAATGCCTTTATAAAGCAAATCAGCTTACCAATTAAATTTTAGGAGGCACTCCCTATTGCGATAGATTGGTTCCTGAGACGCTAATGATCTTAAGGCTTGGAGTTCCATTTATCTTTAGGAAAAGAGAACAGAGTGTTTATTTTGTGCTATTATTTCCTATTCATCCTCTTCAGTTGCAATAGTACCTTCCTTTTTGAGGAGTAAAACCCTGCATGTTTTGAGCCTGGCACTTTGAAATCTTGGTTGTGTGCTGCCATCTTGTGGTTATACAAAGACATGTTCCTATGTTCTAACTAAAGGAATTGCCTTTGTCCACCAGGTGGCAATAGTGGGAAAAATAAAAACTTTTTTTTCAGTCAGAGCCGGCATAAAACGTTACATTTCCAAAAGGAGTGTTTCTTATTCTTACAAAAGAGAAAAAAACATTTTCTTTATTGTCCTTAACAAATGAAAATGATTCATCCTTCTGTAGTGCTAAGGTGATTCCAAATTCTTAAGTAAAACCGCCTTGACAGGTATGTTATTTCTGTAGGGATTCCTTGGACGCACTCATTAGAATACACTTGAAACCTATGATTTTTATACCTCTCAGGAAAACATCTCACCACATATTGATCTTGCTTTAGCAAATATACTTAGCAAGTAAGCACAACAGTGCAGGTCCAAAGAATAAAATAAAAAGGTAAACCTGTAGCAATACAATGGACAAAACTTTGGGGGAGTTTAGTACAGAGAAAGTTCTAGAATTCTCTGGAAGCATTATTGCTATATGCTTAGACTCTAGCTCCTGCTGATGGGGTACAAGGAAACAGTGGGGGAAAGAATTTAATACTAGAAAAGGCAAGTGTTAGTACACATTTATTTATGCTCATCTGTCTTTGACTTTTAACTTTCAAAAATTTTTAAAGTTTATTTATTTATTTTGAGAGAGTAACAAAGTGAGATCAAGTCAGAGAGGAGCAGAGAGAGAGGGAGAGAGAGAGTCCCAACCAGCCTGTGTGCTGTCAGTGAAGAGCCCGAGTAGGGCTTGAACTCACGTGGGGCTTGAACTCATGAACTCTGAGTTCATGACTTGAGCTGAAGCCAAGAGTCTGACAGTTAACCATCTGAGTCACCCAGATGCCCCTAACATTACACCTTTGCCATGTTAGACAAGTCTGCAGCATCAGAA